TCGGCTCGGGCCGCAAACCTCTCGGTTCGCAAACAGAGACTTTTCAAACTCGTAGGAAAACTACCATTTCGTGCTTGCGTCATGGGCCCAAAGTGAAACTTTTCTGCCCTAAGGCGCAAAGTAATTTTCTGTTCTCCAGGTGCAAAGTAACCACAATTCTTTAAGCACATGAATTTATTTTTTTGTGATGTAGAAATAGTAAAATGAATAAAATGAGTGTCAATAGCTTTTTTCCCAACATTGTGTAGCTAATATGTGTTTTTCCTATTATTTTTGTGTGGAAAATTGAATTTCTCACATTAATTTGATGATAAGTATGCGGAAAACATTATTTTTACGTGTCTGACAAGCGATTTATGAACGATAGAAAATTTTCTTTTTTATTATTATTTTTTTTAATTAAAACAATTTTAAACAAGCAATAACTAGTGAAACATTAATACACATACAAAAATGTGAAATTTAATGAAATGAACTCGTAGGGTCTGTCTTTCTATTTTTTAAACTGTGGTTAATATAAATCAGTTAATTTTTAATGTAATGTAATCAGACAGTTCAACGAGCAGATTTGCTAACACACACTCACACAAGTGAAATATAACCGTTTGAGTTATTTAAAGCAACATAATAACTGTATAAAATCATATAATTCAAACTATCTAATGAATTTCCAAAAAAATTTTTTTAATTTTGATACAATTGATTTTGTTTATATATTTTTTGAAAAATGGAATTGTTTTTTTTTTTCACAACAATCACTTCATTTGTTTTTTGACAATACTATTATACCGGGATCTATAGATCTTATATTTATGATCCTAGAGTGTGGTCATCTGATTTTTCATTGCTTGTATAAATATTTCAACCACATCATCAAGCGTGACTAAACACTATTTTAATGACTTTATTCAAATGAACATTCACGCTAGTTATTGGAGCATAGGCGTAACTCAAATACTTGTACTTTCTAGATTGTACCACTAGTGAAAAAAAAAAAAAAAAAAAAAAAAAAAAAAAAAAAAATTGTAGCGGCACAAACCCAAAGTTTAAGCAAAAGTGTGAAAAGCACATTTACGAAAACGGATACACCGAGCGCAAGGTATTGCAAGAAAGCGTTTACGTGTGTATAGCAGCAGCAAAGCGAAGGCCTTGGAGAGGAGAAAAAACGAGAGAGTTGCCTACGTGTATGGCATGTGCACAGGACCTTACAAGTATAATATATACAATGGCCTCAGTACCTCCACACATATACGGCATATAATTTACTTTATGGGCATAGGGTATCGATCCTCATGAAAGTTTACGCATCGACAGTGGTTACAATAATGGTTGTCTCACCCAATGTAAACTATATCTTACGTTCTGTAGGTTTTTCATTACATTATTCTACTTTGATATTTATGCGCGTACCTACTTATTCGGATGATTCACAAATAGAACCTCCATAAATTCCCACGGGAGTAAATAAAACACGACGAGTAATTATGTATGCTATAGTTAGGGTCTTAGTAGCCACAAATAGTTGAACAATTTTTTTGTAATATTGACAGAAAATAAACACTACATGAAACCATGTTTAGTAACGTCAAACTGCCTTTTTTAGCGAATAAAGCTGAAGGGTAAAGTTCTTGTACATAATGAAAATTAAAATATTACAGTGAGATTGATTTTTACTGTGTTGAATGTAATATATCTGGTCAATTGTTTATTTAACCATGTTATAAAGATTTTCATGTTAGCTAAGGGCTTTCATGTATTTGTCGTTTTTGCTACTAAGACTTTAGTCCCCTTGAATGAAATAAATTTAATATTTAATTTTTGTCCATGTAAAAGTACTTGAACAGTAATAATAAACACATTGAATATTCAAAGAAATTATGTCAAAACGAGTACTTAAGTGACTATTTGAGCAGCTCTTCAAGGTTCCACTTTTCTAAGAATTTACTTTTGAAATCAATTGTCGTACTTTTTTTTAGTTAACACAACTATACGTAAATATATTATCAGCTTTTCGTTCTAGTATTCTCTTTATTTCTCAATGTTTACTATTACTATCATCTAACTATTTATTTCGAGATTTATTTTAAGTAAGTGTAAAAACAGGTATGATAAGCATATAATATTTAGTATAAAGAAATTGATTGACTGTTACAGTATAAATATTTAATATGCAAAAGGGTACTGGGTGACTGAAATACAACCAAATGGATCAACTGTTATAGTGTAAGATTTAGTAAAACTTATGAGAGAAGGACTTGTTAGTAATTAACATCATATGTTAACTATTAACTTACGCATAATACGTATCCCACGTGGTGCCATCTGATGTGATGCAGGTTCAACTTAAATATGACATGTTAGCTATTATCTATTAACATGCCATCTGTGTCAATTAAAATTTAAAAAGTTATAAAGAACATGTAAACTTATTTTCTGTTAACATACTTGTACGTTGGTAGTAAACAAATCCTTCTCTCAGTGAAGGGTAGCTGCTTTACGTACTATTGAAACGGTATCAAAATTTAGGTACAATATCCCGCGAGGGACTTAAGCATATTATAATTTTATTTATTAACATTACAACTTGACTAAATACATTATATTTTTCAAAAAACTTCTTTGTCAGTTACAATGTGCTATATACATCGCAATATGCTTGAAAATACACAACACACCCGTAACATGTACACAAAAATTCTTTCGTTCCACCAATAAGAGCGTTTCACTTAGTCTTCATTCAAATGTTCGTACTTGTCATATACTAGATGAGAATACGTATGAATAATGAATGCCCATACGTGTGCGTGTATGCATGTGGAAAAAAAATGGTAAATTCATATGAGAGTAAGGTTGGAAGCTGAAGTATTTTTCGTTGAAGCTGCGGTACGGTTTCCGGGTTTAAAGATGCTTTTCAGTACAGCCCGCCCTCGCTCGAGCCTCATAAATACACGAGCATTGCTGCTCCATTCTCTGTCCATCCTCCTCTTCTCTCATGGATGATAAGGGGTGCGTGCGCACGGACTGCGTGAATATTTATAAGTAGATTTCGAGAAAGTTTGGGTTACAGCCTTGTGTACGCTTTTGTTCATATACCTTTGATGGGCAGCAAGAACGTTTACCACGTACGAATGTTGGTCTTTTGGATACGTCTGCTTTTGTGCTGATGTATTTTCCGTGGGGTAACAATGTGAGTGTTACCAACAATCGTTTTTGTGTCATGTTTTTCGGTTCGGTTTTTTTTGTTTGTTTATTATTCAGAAGATCAAGTATCGTATAATTGTGTTATCCTTTACCTCTCTCGGGTATACTGTGAGCATTTTCAAGTTACTGTACTCCTTGGTACGGAACATCGACTGTAAATCATAAGATTAGCCCAAAAACCTTTTCGTTTTGATTTTTAAACATTTTTTCTTGTGATTTACATACACCGATTATTTAAAATAGAGAGCAAATTGAAAATGAACTTACGGAAAAATTCCTTGAAAAAGAAAATCGTCAAAGTTTATCAGATTATCTTTACCTCCATATATAGACAGAAGTAAAAGTTTAGTTTTAACATTTTTTTTCTCATCTTGGTAGTATAGCAAGAAGTAAGCTGTATGGGTAAAAAAATTATAATTATTGCATTTTTATTGCTCATATTTTTAGTATAATTACAACATTATACACATGCAACAACGAACAGACTTCGACTAATATATGTTTTGCTTGTATGTGTTTGTGTTAGTTTATAACTTACTGTAGTACTCATTTATAGCATCGACATTTTTCTTCAGCTATAGTGACATATTTCACAGGGATTTTTCGTGATTATTTCAATTCAACTTGTATTTTTATTATCTTTGGTATTCGATACGGACGCAACGTATGTATTATTTATGATTATTTTCAGTTTGCACTAGCATTATCATGCAGTCTCATATTTAAAGAAAGTAAGGAAATCGTAAAAGTCTTAGGTTCCGTTATTAATATAATGATTTTAGTATAATCAGAATATTAAAAAATACAAATGTGTGTGAAAATGTAACTGTTTTCAGTTATGTACAAGATAATTACGATCTTAATGTGTAGAGTCACCAAAGTACAAACAATCTAAATCGAACCAAAAAAAACTTTTATCTAGAAATAATAGTCTTACGTCTGCAATCTTTCATCACCATAATGGATTTTTTTATCATTTAAATGAAAACCAAGCCAACCAAGATATTAAAAGATAAAGTTTGTTTGATAACAATTGTCACGTATTTCAAACATTAATCCCAGTACTACTTTCTATTTGCAGTAGATTAAATTAGCGATCGCAAGTAGCAAAGGATTATTTAGTGAGTCAAGACCAGCTATACTAAAAAATGATAAATATTGTATACTTTAGAGGATACATATCAGTAATAAATTTATAAAATTTGCGAAAGAAAATTTTTATTTTTTAATTTTTTTTCTGTATTTGTGACTCTCTACCGAAAATTTTTACTGCACACTTGGACATTGTCAATAGCCTTGTTATACAGAAAAGACTCATTAGTATCACCGCTATAAAATGTATCATTATAATAATCGAATCATTTAGTAACTATGTTGTTCTCGAAAGATAAGGGAAAATCATTATCCACTACATTGATGATGTCAAAAACAAGTTTAACAATCGATTATCCAATTAAGCGATAAAAAAAACCTACTTGTCACATTCTTCGAAGTGAATTGTTTTTCAATAAAACTTTGAAACACTTGGTATGAATGTAAACCATTATTATGATATTAAAACACACTTACACGTATTTTAACCGAGAAGTATCGGCATATTCCTATGAACCTAACCTAACTTACAAAAACCTACCACAAAAACAGTTATAATGATGTGATTATAAGCAAAAAAAAAAAAAAAAAAATTATAATCTTACCTACCGAACAAAGCCCACACTCGAAAAAGCAAACCCAAGAAAACAAGCAAGCAAGCAACGGCATAAAAGCGAGCGTGATTGTTTTTCTGTGCTTCTCCGCAGAGTCCCGCGGCACTGCCGTAGAGCCAAGGGGCGGTTGCTCTGAGCCGGGGGGCAGGCGAACCCTCAGGACAGAAAAAGCGAAAGCATGAGGGAGCGAACCCCCTCTGCGGACGACACCCCGAAGAGGGCCCCGCCAGCTCCACCTGGAGGTGAGTCTCCTTCTCTCTCTCTCTCTCTCTCTTTCTCTTACACACGAGACATACGCTTTTACGCACGCACGCATTTTTATTATATATATATATA